CTTTGTTCTGAGTCATTGCTTTTCAGATTCTCAACCCATGAATGAAATTCTGACCCACGCGAACTTAGACAACATTTTTTTTAATCCCTTCAAGACCTGCTTTCTTGATAAAAACTGGGACAACCTGTCTTCCTCACTGAAAAATCTTTCCTCTGCAACCAAATTGTGCTATCAAGCAAATGTCATCTCTCCCATTTCCTTCAGAATCCTTCAAAACATAGAGCATAKCTGGTTTGTCTGATGAGTTTTGATAGGTTTAACAGACATGACAACTCAGCTCAATCAGTGCAATAGTTTAATATGAATTCCAGCAATGCTGTACRTACACCCTTCCTACACCACGACTTCACTTCCATTCAGCTCATGCTCCTATATCACATAAAATTCAAAGGACAATAGAAATATGCATGTAAACTTGACAAACTTTCTTCTTCAAACATTTTAAACTTACATTTTCCAAGAAGAAACTTCAAGTAATGTGATATTAATACAGCATAAAAGCCTCCTTTGACAAGACTTTGTACTGATGCCTCACTTTTCCAGAAAAACAGTCTTATGGCCTTGTTTTATTCAAACACATTATCCCCCAGAAAAGAAACACATTATTGGAATAGAAAAGTGTTTCTTACAAGTGGGCTGTCKCCAGCTCTCTGTCCTTCTATCTCCTCAGTTCTTATCAGAACTTTACACTGTCACCAAAGGGCTCCATTTCTGCTTCACCTTGAGAAAGCCTAGACCTGTAACACATGACTGTAGCACAAAGACACAGCTACAGATTAAACCCACAACAGCTAAATCCAACTGAGGTCTGTGCACCTGAACATTTTTTTTCACAGCCAGCTTGGATTAATTTTGAAGCCTTAAAATATTTTTTTTCATCATGCTTATAAGTTAAAGAAAACCAAAGGGCATCAAATAAGTACTTACTTAATTGGAGGAAATAACTATTTTCACTAATAAGAATSAAGTATAATTTGATTTAGGATGCCAGTTCTGGTTTAAAAAAATCCTCTCTAAACAGGCTTATTCATGTTACAAGCAGGAAACACACAATCTAGATCAGCATGATAATAATAAAAAAAAAGTGCAGAAAGAGATCATACTATAAATCTCTCCCGAGAGAGCAAGGAACTCAAGGCAATTGTCAAACAGCATTGATTGTTCCACACTATTAAAATCCGGTTTACAGAAGAAAATCAGTATTTCATGGTAAAAATGTGTTAAAGTTGAGCTTGAAAACACTAATTAAACAGCCTTTTCTCGGTGGCTGTAAGAACAGTATGACTGCCGCACTTATAAATTCCAACTTCTGGGTTAAAAAAAAAAAATCTGTTTCCAGGATTGTAAAGAAAATCTGTCAAATATAAAATGAGACAATATTGTCATTTGATGTCTACATACAGTCTGTGCATACTGGATAATTCTCAAATGACAGCAACCCAAAACTAACAAATCTCTGGCTGCTACTCAGGAGTTACCAGGCAGCACTAAATATAACCAGCCTTATGTAGTCCAGCTGGCTACTGCTTTGAACAGTTACAAGAAGCAGCAAACACTGTAGTAAGTTCTGAGGGGGGAAAAAAGKAAAAAATTTCTGTTCCCATCTCTACCAGTCAGATGGCTTCAGATGTTTCCCCTTGTAATTAAACAGCAAAAGAAAGAGACACACAGCCCCCACCGCCCCCACCCACTAAAAGCATCTTAGCATCGAGTCCCATGCTGACACTGGGTTTSACACTGCCAAAGTACTGTTTCAGAACAGGAGTCACACCATTGGCTCCTACTTTTCAGGTCTGTGTAAAATTTGCAAGCTTTCAAATAAAATATGAAAGTGTTTTGTACTACTAGCTCACTCTCATTTTTCTTCAGTCACAGCAAATAATATTAAAAGATATTATCTTCCCACYTGATGTCATCAGACCACATATTGCATTGGCTTTTTATTGGTCATCTGGTAATGAAATTTGCAGAGAATGGCAAGAAGCATTGGTTTTTTCCTACGCAAAACAGGCCTTTTTGTGGTCATAGTGAATGCACATGCATCCTAAACATTATGCCGTACAGCTGGTGGACAAAGCTACAGGCTTGAAACCAAAACTTTCATTCTCACCTACACAGGTTTTTTTTAATTGCTGTGGTAGCACTAGTCCCTTGAAAGTCAATCATTAACCTCTCACTTTCACAATTTACCTACACCATTCAAAATTATGGCTAGCTGTCCTCTAACTCAGAGACCACATGAGCTTTCCTGTACCTTTCCCTCATTCCAGAGTTACTTAGCATGCTGCTAAACTTCATACTGCCAAAATGGACAATACCATGGTTTTGCAGTCATTTCTGGCTAATCTGAAGTCAACATAACTTCACAGAATCWTRGAATGGTTGGGCTTGGAAGAGMTCTTAAAGACCAGCTAATTCYGCCCCCARTRTMATGGGCAGGGGRCACTTTCCTGAAGACCAGGCTGCTCCAAGACCCATCCAACCTTAAACAATTCCATGCATGGAGCACCTTCTCTCTCAAGGATCTCCTCTAGCACTTCCAGAAAGGATATCTGACCTTTCCCCTTCTTGSCCACTCATTGACACCTTGTGCCTCCAGCCCACCTGTCTTGATRTAAACAGTTATTAGGGTTGCATGGTAAAGCAAATGAGGGAAGTGGTTTGGAAATACTCCCGAGAAGGTAAGAGAATGGCACACTTAACCCCAGTCAGTTCCCTGACCCTGTCTGCCATATGGCTGCACAAACAGTTGTGCTGCCATGAGGACAAAGCCCAGAGGAAGGAACAAAGGGTTGAGGCTTCAAGAGGACAGGATCACTTTCTCTCAGTAGCAGTGCCAGCTTAGGTTGGCTGCAAATCACCATAGCCTAAGATGGAAAATGAGGTCGTCTTAAAATAACAGCTGTGAAAAATACTTTCTAAGCTAATACACGAGGCTCRTATAACCACTATGAAACACAAGTGCGTACTTAAAGATCTTGAAAGCATGGAAGGACAACATCCATTTTAYAATAAACAAGAGCCTTGGAAGGAGATTTTTAGAGCCAGTAACCTGCAGCGTGACTTCATCCACTCAGAATGAAGCTTTAGCTAGAGACTTGGACAGGCTTAGACAACCATATCTCAATGATTGATAAAAAACCCAGGAGGGAGAAAAGATCCACCTTCTTTTCCTTTAGGTATCTTAAAAGCCCTGCCTGTTAGACACTTGGGAATCACATCACTACTCTTTATTTACTACCCTCACTGTAGTTCAAAATCTTGTGCTGAGTAATGCTCCTGGGAGGGATATATTTTTATTAATGATAATAAAGTTAAAAAATATCTTGAGAYGCATAGCTAAAGACTGCATTGTCTGAACAAGATATGAAGGGCAACATGTTCACACTAGTAACTTCTTTCAGTAGGAAGACTTCAGTTCCATTTAACTCAATGCACATAAGGACCTTTTCCCTGTGAGGAAAGAAGGAAAGGCATATGGATAAAGTTTTAGTCAGAAACAGCCTTCCAAATRTAAACGTACGTAGTACTTTGCACATTCACTAGAATACTAGGGATTCACTATCTTAAAGCAAGYGATTGTTTTAAAACTCACAGTACCAGTGCAGACCTACCCAGAAATAAATTTGATTCAGCATCTTCTGCCACAGCAGGAACCCAGGCTTGCCTCAGTCCCTATGGTCAAACTCCTAAAAGGGCATTTTGGCTCCTCCCTTGCCAGATATGATCCCCTCCACTTCACGCTCTTGCTGCGTGCTCTCCTGGCAGARCACAACCCACGGCAGTTGCCAACAAGTTAAGTGTAGTTATCTCCACTTAGGAGACTGCCTGTCCTACAGCTGTTCTTAAGCCACAGCTATGAATGCAACCTACAAATGCCTCCATGTTATAATCTCTGGCAGTATGCTGGCTCARATAAAAGTTAATATACTGAGAACTTCTGAGTAGTTTTCTTAACACTTCCTACCCTCCTCWCATAAGAAAACCCAAACAAACAGAAACCCAAGTAGTTGTTCAGTCCTTGCAGTAAGTCAGCTATCCTCTAATTGCAAACTTTTCCTTCAGTTTGTGAAAACTGAGAAGATATCCCAACATCCTCAACCAAAGGACTGTTATCAAAAGGYCTTTTTCTTGCTGTCACTTTGCTAAATTGCTTATTCAACCTACTTGTCAAACCACCAKCGCTCACATACACTAAACAGGGAGGAGAAAGAAATCTGCTGCACATTTGATGTGTGCACCAAAGCCTGCTAGATACTCAGGAAAATACAATCTTACTGTTAGGTCTTCTTTTCCAGTTGGCACTTTATCAACAATGTCCCCACCCAAACCTAGCCTTGTTTGTAGCACTACTGCATATGGCTGAGCAGGGCCAGGTGTCCTTAGCGTGACCCGTGCACACAACAGGGCCCGTTGGTCACAAACGATGGTTTTTGCACTGCCGGGGGCTGAGGGAAAGCACTATCCTCCACTATTCGATTACCTGTCCAGTGCTGACAGCACCTCTAGGACGCTTTAACACAAGTCCTGCATTCTGCTCCTAAGCAAACCGTGCCCTTGYCATTAAGCTGTTTCAGGATGCGAGGCCTCCCCACGGAGGGTGAACCGCGAAGAAAGGGGCTGCATCTTGCCCTGCAYTGCGTTCCGCAGAGGTTGGTACCCCGGGCTGGCAGGGGCTGGCACAGACCCCATGGCCACGCGGGGCTCTGTGCTCACACACCCCTCTTTTCGCGGAGCCCAAGGGCGCTGCAGACGCCTGAGCTGGAGGAGCAGCCCGGAACGAGTCCAGGAGGCACGGCCGGCCCCGGGCGGGCTCCCCCCCACGCCGCGGGTGGGTGTGCGGAGGCTGCGGTCCTGCAGCGCCCGACAAGCACCATCCTGCCCCGCCCGAGCACATCGCCCCTCTGCGGCTGCGGAGCGCAGCCCCTGGGGTCCCGCCAGGCGAGAGGAGTCAAGCGGGGAGACCCCGGGAAGCGCTCCCGCCCCCTGCCCCCACTCGCCTGGTTGGGGTCGGTGGCCCGGAAGACATGGCAAACCATGGGGGAGTCGGGGTTGTCGGGYTGCGCCTTGATCAGGTAGGCGAAATAGGTGAGGTCGTGGCTGTTGTGGATGAAGCGGGTGATGTGCTGCGCCTTGTGCTCGAAGATGAAGACGGCGGGCGCGGGGCTGGCGGGGCGGCCGGGGCCGGCGGCGGGGCCGGGGCTGGCGGGCACGCAGCGCAGCGTGGGCGAGCCCAGGAGCAGCAGCACCTCGCGGGCCGGCACCCCGCTGCCCGGGCCACCGCCGGGCTCCTGCCGCTGGCCGCGGCGGCGGATCTCGGCCACCAGCCAGGGCAGCATGGGCAGCGTGGTCCGCCTGTCCAGGCAGGACGAGCCCACGTACCACAACCTGAAGCGTTTCTCCCCCGGCGGCGCCGGCTGCGGCTCGGGCTCGGGCTCCAAGGGGTGGGAGAGCGGCTCGCCCTCCCCTCGCTTCTCCATGGTGRGTGTCAGGGCGCAGGACGCGGCGCTCCGCGGCCGCTTCCCCCGGCGCCAGGTGCAGCCGGCGGGGCCTGCGCTCGGCCRGGGCCGCCGCTAAGCGCGCATCCCGCCGGGCACGTCCCTGCCGCCGCGCCGCCTCTTGCCTGCCCGCGCGGGGTCAGCCCGCGGGGCGGGGAAGGACGGCCGAGACTCCCCACTCCTTCTCCTCCTCCTTCTCCTCCTCCTCAACGCCCTGGGGAGGAGCCTCGGGGATACGCCCCGAGCAGGCTGCGCGCCCSGAGCACCCCCGGCTCAGGAGCGGGACAACCCCGCCAGCCCGGGTCCCAAAGGCAAATACAGCGTGGGCTCCACTCCGCGCTGCGTTCTGCCCGGTGCTGCCGGGTGCTGCCGCCTCCCTGCGGCCCCGGCTGCTGGGCTCTCCCCGCGGCTCGCAGCGTGGTCGGCCGCAAAGGGAKGAAGGTCGCCGAGCGGCGGAGAGAAGGAGGTGGGAAGGCTGCGGGCCCGCCCTCCGCCCTGTTTGCTGAAGCTCCCAAAAGCTTTCTGAGTTGGTTTTGATTCTGACGAGTCGGCGGGTCACTGGGGAGAAGGCTCCCGGCACGGAGTGGGGGCCCGGGGCGAGGCCCGCGAGGAGMGCCAGCCGCACCGCGCCCGTGCTACAGCAGCGTCCTCCCGCACTGCCGAGTCAAGAGTTTCATTACGGCTGATTTTAATTTTTTTCTTTTTTTTTTTTTCCTAAGCTTGTGTTTCCTGCTTGCGCTTTTAGTCGTGGGGGTTTTCCGTGTCGCTATCGCGATAACATCTCTTGTCTACGACAAATCCGCCACCTACTGTAGACGTTAGTAACTAGTCTCCTCTACCTGAGAAAGTAGCTTTGCCAGCCATACAGTATCCGTATCCTTTTGGATCCAATTGCCAATTGTAGCGACTGTCCCCCTTTAAATCTGTAGCAACAGCGGCGACAACTCCCAATACGGGTTGTTATGGCCACCGTTTTAACTCTGCATACAAATAAAAAAATCTGTAGCTTGAGCTGAAGAGCTGCTCTGTGTAATTTGAGACCTTCATGCTTATTTGTGCAGAGAAGGGTCATGTAGCACACAGGACACAGCCCACACCAGTCTGAACTGACAAAAACTGTCGCATTTGCAGTATTTTCATACTGTTACAAACCACTCTGCTCATTTCCTGAGCAAACAATTTTGCTCTTTTTTTTTTCCAGTTTAGCCATCTAGTTTATACACTCTGGTTTTTCAGTTGTAATTTTCATTTTAATATTTCTGTTTGGCAAGACCTCAAATATATCCTCTCTCATGGCACTATACAAACCTTAAGGGGCACCCTACAATGCCCCTTAGGGCAGGGCAGCTAATGCAAAAAGTCTTATGCAGGCTGAAYACCAGCTTTAATATGTGCTACAGTGTAGAAGTTATAGCCAGACCGGAATTGCTTTCCCTAACYATTTTCACACACTTGATCATCTGAACTGCATTGTTGTCCAGCAGATTTTACAAACAGGGTAATTAGAAGAATAATGGCCACATTTTGTGGATCACAAGTCTAAAAAATTTCCCTCATTCTGCACAGTTAGTATTAACCCTTTGGCTGGGAATGGCATTTAAAATTTTGTGCTCCCGCATTGCGGGATGACAATTTGTGAGCTTCTTAACAGTGCACCTGCAAGAGGAGCTATTTGGTTTCTGGCAACAACGCTGGCACTGGTTTAATGCTGCAGTGAGCTGCTCCTTTTCTGCCAGTTCAGTTTTGTGAGCCGCTCCTTTTCTGCCAGTTCAGTTCTGTGAGCCGCCTCTAATTTAAGTGACAGCACTTGTAAAGAGAGCACTGTTGGCACAAAGGAAGCGGGAATGACAGCTCGGGGGTGAAGAGGGCAGCGAGACTCCTCGCCCCTTTTGGGGATGCTTGGTTGGASGATTCATCTAGAGCGTGAAGTTGCAATTCAGTCACTTGAGCGCGAAGATCAATTTAACCTACCTGGGAAGTGAACTAAACATCGGGATTGCACTAGAGCAGCGGCAAAACCCCCTCATGCATTCTTTTGCRATGGTTTCAGACGGGATCATCATTAAATGGCTCCAATGAAGCAGCCTAAGGGGGARGCTACAATACACTGAATAGCTGCAGCTGCTCACCAACATCATCTCTGAGACTTCTAGATCCCTTTTGTTTTATGTTTGTACATGACCTCCCAAAAGCAGTTTGTGGACAGCCACCTAGGCTTTTAGATGCTATGGTGATACAAATAATCAAAAATAATCAGGAAACTTGAAGACAATCATGCAACTACATTAAAATAACAAAAAAGGCTGAAATTCTTTTAAGCAGTCACAGATCCCTTGATGTTCTCACATCATACAAATGGAATAGGAAGTCTTCACTTGAAGATGTTACAGAGCTGTGTTTTCAGCTGATAAGGATGCACTTCAATTATTGCAAATTATCAGATGGAAATTAAATTCTAAAATGTGAAAAATGAATSTGAARTTCTTCAATTGCCACCAGTGTGCCTCTTTTGTAAAGCTATTTGGKTTTTCCTTCTGTTGGGTGATTTGCTTAATATGGTATGAGATCTGGTTATTTRAACTTAATTACTTTTTTACTCAATTCTTTATACAAATCCCTTAGAAGATGGAATTAATCTATATAAACATTACCACTAATATTMTAACTACATTCAAAATAAAGTTCTCAGATGTTAATCCAAAGTTTTCATGCTTTCTTCTTGCTTCATCTTTTTATGTSTCTATGAATTGATTCTTCATAGTAATCCCTTTTAGCTGTCCATTACTTTTATCCATTTACTTCATCATTTCTTATCCTTTAATCTGCCTAGCACTTTTTATCCCCCCATCTCATTAATAGTGTTTCAGTAGGAAGTCAGTCCTTTTGTTATATAACTTTTCTTCTTGAAGTTTTCTCAGTTTTCCTGTTTTCTCATTTCTTTTCTGTTGTAAGATTTCACGCACCTTAAAGTTAAAAAATTATTTCTCTCATATAGAGCACAGTATTCCTTTGCCCATGACATTTGACATGCCTCTCATGTAATTTCTAGTGATTAAACTATAATGGTAACGAAATTATCTTTCTCTAATTCTTTGTACAATGTAATTAGGAATTAGCSTAAAATACAAAGTCCTTAGAGCTCAGTTAATGGGAATCAAAAACTTTGGGACAGAGAAGAAAGCAACTTTCCATAGCCCTTTGAATAGTCCRCAGAGCTTTGAAAATATATTTATGTTCTTGATGAAAGAACAGCTTCTCTCCAGGTTATCCCAAACAGAAGTGTAAATGCRGCACCCATGCCAGAGACATGACAGACCAAGTTGCTGGTGAAAAGCCACAATTTTTTAATGATTCTTTTTTATTATTATCATTAGCATTGGCGAAGCTTCTTGAAATAAACTGTAAAATCCAAAGGGAACACTCTACTGGAAGATCTGAAGTACATTACGCACTATGGACAATAATTGCAATAGCATGTGCTGCAAGTGCAYGCAATGTTTAGTTGGTCAAGTAAAACCAACCACATACCCAGTCAGATTTTTCTGAATTGCTGATWACCTGCCATTGTTTTTTGTTCCATACATAGACATTACATGCAAAACCTCTTAAATTAAGGCATTTATTGAAGYGACCACACACAGATAAAGTTAACTAAATGTACATGCCTCTGAAAATTTTGGATTTCATATGCTTGTCAATGGAGTCTTACATGAAAAGGTTAATTTTCCAAATAAAGCAGAGAATGTATCTTCYGTTTATTAGAGGAAGTATGTTTAGTTCACTAAGACTACACCTTGATAATGTATGTTGTTTCTGCACATGGCACCACAGCAGCCATTTCATATATCATTTCTGAATCTTCAGTTCTTACTCAGTGTTAAASGATATGTAAAAAATGGTAAGCAACCACAGCTCTCAGTAACTTAAGCAGCAGAGAGACCTCAGCATCTCACATGATCAGACTGTTAATTGCTAGTAATTATCCATCCCCTTAAGCTTTTAGCCACAATTTTAATTGCAGAAAAAATATTAAGTTATTAGAGGAGCTGTAGGCTTGACTTTACAATCCCATAATTTATGCATAACTTCAGTCACCTTGGACTATTATTTCAGTTATATGCCCTGTAGCTGGAATTGCTTCTGATTCAATTGCTTTTCTAAGAATGATCTCACTTAGCTGTCTGGGAATTCAAGGTCCATTTCCATATTTTCATTCGTTTAAACTAGTCAAATTTCATTTTACTTTCAGATCACCTTTTTGTAAGATCTGAGATACAGGCATTTTTACTTTAAAACCATTTAATTAATTTAAACTATCTGGTCTTATTTGAAGACTGTAATGAAATAACTTCTGGAAACATAAYTGAAATATTAGAAAGTAAGTTCAGTAGACTGGACATATTACCAGGGCTTTAAGATTTAGCTGCTAGAGAAACTCTGGTGCCTTCTCTTTTAAAGTACAGGAAAAATACTCACTAGAAATAATGAAAATTATATATTTTGCAARATWTGCAGTATAAAGATTGTAATAGTTTAAGATGCAATGCCAAAGTTTAGAGTAAGAYATATTGGTCTTTCAGAGATATGTCAGTAGCAGGGGACACTTGCTGCAATTTGTAAACAATAAAAATGATGAAAAATTAATCTGATAAGAKATGGTTTTAATATTTTCTTCTTAAATGGCACTAATCTTTTTTGATCATAATGACAGATTAGAATTTGTTCTGCCMATAAGACCCACTCCAAAACAGCTTTAGGGGAACTGGAATGAGCAAAGTTCCTAAGAGAATAATCCCTAACTAGAAATTTCATAAACATCTCTAGAACTTAAAGCAACCTGCCACATTTTGTCTGTGTTCAGTGTATTGATGTTCAATTTATTGCAGCACCAATTAAGAGAGACAATGCATTGAGTTATTTCTCTTCAAAGAAGAGAAATTTGATTGTGGAAAGATTCTTACTTAAGACATTTCTTCATATCACAGTCATCTCATGAAACTTTCTAGCATACCAGACTTTGAACCAGTGAAGAACCACAACACTCTTTATTTAAAACTAAGTTTTAATCTGGAGTCCTGTGTGATCCTAGCATCTTCCCAGGTGGGAACATTTGAAATTTATTAGGGTTTTTGAGGGTTTTTTTAATAAGGTYCCTGTCCCCAAAAGTGTGTCACATAGCTTACTAGAACCCCTGTTGTTGTGGTAARACAGATTTTGGTGGCTGTCAGCAGCTCAGATTAGCTGCAAAATGAGTTACTGCAAGAGAGTGCAACTTCTGCAAGAAGAACTTCCCTATTCTCAATTATTTCTTCTTTTATAAAAAGGAGCCATTTACTTCTCTACCATTCCCCAGCYAATGCAGTAACAGTAACATACAAATAAGAGAAAAAATGAGGAAGAAGAGATAAAGTGCTGTGACTGCTGGAGTCTCCTGCTCTCCCTGACAGTGCCTACTACATCTACCTCATTTGTGATTTGGAAGGGATCCTGGTCCACTCCAACTCTTCAGCAATGCAAACCAAGACAGAATTTCTTGTCATTGCCAAAGCTAAAATGAACATATTGATATTATTTCACAAATATATTATTACAAAGGATGAACCACAGGGTAGAAAGGTTAAGAAACCTGTAGTAGAGTGCAGAAATAACACAGCAGAGAGATGCTTTRGAAGGCAGGAATACTTCAGGGGTCACAAATTATGTGTCTTTGAGAGGAAAATGCAAATACTGTTATGACTTCAAGTGTATCACTATTGAAGTATTACTGTAGCTTCTCCATACTGTATGTGTGGTAAGAGAAGGGACAGCTTAGCATGAACAACAGGGTACTGGTAGGCCCAACACAATACCAAGAATGGTGCCAGTGTAACTGCTAACATAAAAAAAAGAACAGATGGGAACCTCTTAATCCTCTTTTTCATYGCCCTTGACTCTCTCCTAGGTAAATCGACATCTGTTGTCTTGACTCTGTTGACTGCCGAGCATCTCTCATCTCCCCACATTCCCAACTGTGAGAAGCAGCATGGCACAGCACACACTTACATTGCTCATTTTAAATATAAACTTCAACACCCTTTTCAAGCTTCAGGTGTGGTTGCAGCATACAGGACTTTGCAGTTCAAAAGCATCACTGGGAGGGAAGCCTGTCTTGCTTTTATTTGGGCAAGCTCTTGGATGAATATTTTTTTACAAACACSTGTAAACTGCCAAAAACTCACCAGTAATGACATTCATGGGGAACAGAAAAATTCTTTCCAGCTTCAGTAACACAAAGAACATCTGAACATGACTTCACAGATTCAGAGGTCATTCACAGGGGAGTTAAGCACCCGGGCCACTTTCAGTGGCAGAGAAGCATAGTCCTAAATGTGGCATAAAGACACTGGTAACTAGACTGGATACTGGAATATGGAAATGGATTTTAGAGTGGTCAAACTGCATGAAAACTTTGAATAGAGAAATGCAAATGCTTTTTTATGATCAAGATACAGATATAGAAAAATCTCCTTGAGAGATGTATGAACAGGGAAAAAGTAAAATGAGAATAGGCCCCAAATGCAATATATTATTTAAAGAGCAAGTCATAATGCAGAAATATTAGTATAATTGAGTTACTGACCTAAACTACTGCAAATATGCAATGTATGATATSCTATCGTTAAAATGCTCAGTTGTYTACGTAACTGGAAATCATGTTCATCATTTTAATAATTAAAAGTTAGATTGTTTCTACATTGTTAGAATGTAAGAAGTGGAGTGGAAGTTATGGTGACATGAATTTGTTCAATTCCAGATCGAAGCTWCAGAAGGGAGAAACCAGAAGTCCTTATCCCATTGCCAGACGGACTTTCAAAGGATTGCTGTGAGGCAAGACTGTACGTAGCAGTGCCATCTGGTGACCAATACTATGACAAAGTCCTCTGGAAATTCTATCTGGCACAATTCTATTCTGGCACTATTCATTGTATGAAATGATAAATTTTCCTTACTTTTCCAAAGCTCATTATGTGAAGTATAAAACTGACATTGAAACTCACAATTTATATAAATGTAACAATATTTGTTATGTAAACACTGACAGAGTATTTGGAAATTATGGCACTTAACATATATCAAACAGAAAGGGTCCTCAAAGTAGGGCAGCTTTGTAATTAGCCATAGGAGGTAAATTCAGTGTGGGGTGGAGGAAATTCAGAAAYATTAAAATTAGCCTTCATGGAGAAGATCAGCACTCTCAGTTTCCTTACTTCCCCAATGACACAAAGTCATACATAATTAAGTGACGTATCCCAGTAACTCAGCTAAATTCCAGGTAATTTCTCTRCCTTTCCTCAGAAAAGCCTTGGAAACAAGAATTGGCAAGTATTTCCAAGCACCCAGGACTAGGTATGAGCAGTGTTGAGCATCATCCTTCTGATTTGTCTGCTTCCTTGCATGCTGGTTTTGGCTGGGGGGGGCTAGTATGGGGTGATGTTTTGGATTTGTGCTGAAAACATTGCTGATAATAGTGGAGATGTTTTTGTTGTTTCTGAGTAGTGCTTACACAGAGCCAAGGCACCCCATCAGCAGCAGGGTTGGGGGTGCAGCTGATCCAAACTGACCCAAGGGATATCCAATACCATATGGCATCATCCTCAGTATATAAAGTGGGGAGAAAAAGGGGGAACAGTTGGAGTGATGGTGGTGTTTGTATTCCCAGGATGAAGTCCTGCTTCCCTGGGGATGGCTGAACACGTGCCGGCCCATGGGAAATGGTGAATGAATTCCTTGGTTTACTTTGCTTGCCTGCACAGCTTCTGCTTTACCTATTGAACTGTCTTTATCTCAATCCAAGAGTTTTCTCCTTTCTGATTCTCCCCCTCATCCCACAGAAGGGGACTGAGCAAGCARCTGTGGGGTGCTTGTTTGTCAGCTGGGCTTAAACCACAGCACTTCATACACTAAAGAGCCAAGAGCAGATCTGTATGAGTAAGTCTGGACAGGGCTGTATAATAAAAGCCAAGGTAAAAGAAGTATTTGGCAAAAATTCCTCAGTCACAAACAAATCCAGTTAGGAGCTGGCTGAGCCTCAGGAAGGAAGGACTGCAACAGCATGCCATGGAAGCTGAGGTCAAGCACTCAGGTCAGGTACTGACCTGCACCAACTCCAGCTTCCTAAAGATGCGAATGCCCCAGCAAGTTATCAGCCCAACCAACAGATATGTAAYTACTAAAAATCTGGCTGGGAAAGGAACCCTACCACTATCAACAAATCTTGGATAGAGGCTGCTCAGTTTCAAGTGTTTCCCCCCCACACCCCCCAGCCATTACTAGAGGTTCTTCAGAGATGCAGCACATTTTTTTCTGCAGGCAGATCAAATGACTCAAGACACATTTTTGTGTTATTTTAGTACCCACAAGGTCTTAGCAGAACCACAATGCATGCCTCTGCAAAGGAGTGGAAATTACCCTCTCATTATACCTACAGCTAAGATGGTAATAAAACATTCAACCAGGGCAAGTAGGAAAAAGAAACACTCTTCCCCCAGTTTATCATCTCTCCACCTTTGTTTTTAATTGGTCCAAGGCAATGTGTTTTCAAGTGTGCAAATAGAGTGCAAAGGCTTAAAAAGGGGAAAGGTGGGCTCACGATGAACAAGAAGGTCACATATCTTCAAAATGTGGTTAAAGAAAGGCAGAACAAGTTTATAGAAGCAGGAACAGAGACATGCTTTCACTTGGCCAAAGTGTGCAGGAGCWAAATATATAAAACACCAGCACAGACATACTCGAGCCATTTCTACACTCGTTCTGTGGAGCTTTCTACAAAACAGCATTCTGCAAGTGGGCTGGTGTGTTTGAAATTTATAAGAAAAGTAAAAGTCATGTGATGAAGACAACAGGCTAGGACATTCCTTCATTATTCCCTCCCCTGGATTTGCTGACTGTGCAAGACCCCACCCCCCTTCCTTCCTCCTGCTCTATTCTAGGCAAACATTGAAAAAAATAAAACCTTTACTTGTCTCCTAAATGCAGTTAAGGAAAGAAAATAATTTGAATAAAATTTCCTGCAAAATTTCATTAATCTCATATGTCCTTTGTCTTTTCCTGGTTCAACACAACATTGTGTTTAGCTTTAACTAATTGATAYAAGAGTCCTTCCAGTTACCCATTAACTCCTTGGTACCCCATCACAGAGAAAGACAGCATATGTCTGAACTTCAACCTAATTTAATATGGAAAGAAATTTAGTCATTGTCTAGTCTTGAACTTTACTCATTATAGTATTTACAAGACAGACTTGCATGCAGTAGGCTTAAAACAAAACACAGACCAGTTTTGTCTTCATTATCTACATGTTTAATGACTGTCTGTGGACTTAGAAAAATATTCATGTTATACAATTTCTATTACTCAACAATTAGAATTAGAAACACACAAGGATTCCTGATTCTCTTTGAAAAGATCTGGTTTCTGCACATATAGACAAACAAATTACCAGTGTGTTTGGACGTATTAGTATTGCTACCCTGAAAACTGTAGTTTTTAGTTTGGTTTCCTTTCAAAAAAGTACTTAATTCTTCCATTACTCAGTAGAGGAATTCCTGCTGATAGTGATCAGGACACATTTCAACAGTTTGAGTACATAGCCAACTTYAAATCATAACTCCTCTGAAAATTCTCAATTGTAAATTGGTATAGCATACATGTCCAAGCATCTTCCAGCAAGAATTACAACACGCTGGAGTTCATGGACATTTAAAAAAAATACTCATCAATACTTCTAGAATATCTGACTGGACAAAATGAAAGYCTTTACAAAGGCTGACAACCTTCTCCTCTTGCTGATGGAGCAAATGAAAAYGGTAACCGGTACTGAAAATTCAATACCTTCCAACATCTACTGAATTGTTAAGACATGATTAATTAATTATTCTTTTCCATCCAGTTCCAATGAAGGCACAAGTATTTCCAGCTATATGAAGAATTTATATGCATTAGAACACATAGGAAGTATTTGTGAGGCTCCAGCTTTACTTAAAAAAAAGAAAAAACAACAAAAAAAAAGACCTTATTTTTTTCTGGAACTCTTGCATTGATGTAAAACAGTTAATTCACTCGGCCAAAGTGTGACAATGTTTTCCAGTTACAGCAGCCTTACACTCCAACTTGTGCAAATTAAAAAACAATTAAAAAAAATCAGCTGCTCAAATGACTTTTCCATACACATTTGTTTGCTCTATGTTCAGCCCTGAGCTCTTGCAGACAGACAAGGGAAGAGGCAAATGGGAAGTCTGCTCACAAGAGCATTTTGTGACACACCACTGGGAGAGTCCCAGAAAAGACCACTCACCAAAAGACAAAGCAAATACCTCACACTTCAACCAGCATAAACCAAGTATCAATCCAGACCCATGGTCTGGCTGAAAACTTTTGTCAAAGCCAACACSTTTGTTACTTGGGCTTCAAATCAATTTCAAGTACTGTTTTTATGCATCATGCATAATGCCTAAATAGGGGCATTTCTGAAAGGATTGYAGCATATGCAGCACACAGAATCTGCTGCAGTTTGTTTTCATAGCACAAAAAGGCAGACATAACCTGTATCAATGGCTTTCAGCCAGCTTTTAAGAAAAGTTAATTTAAAAGAAGATCTGGGTTACAAAGGTAAATGTTCTCATTTTAAAGAGGCCTGAAATCATTTGAGGATCTGTCCCAGCAAAGCTGGTACTCAGTCTCTACTAGTCTGAAGTTGAAGCATAAGCTTCAATCTGCTTATCAGTGTGAATTATCTCTACTACACCACCAGCACATCTGGAGATCTAACAGTATTGCTTTTATTACATCCCACTATATTTGCAGTGTGTTYTGTTTTATGGAAAATTCAAGGAAGAAAACAAAGAAGAAAGCATACAAGCACATTGGATTTATCACACCCCTTTAGAAATGCCCCCACTCTTCAATATCAAAGTCAAAATTYTGTTGGTTAGGACACCTTCTTAGGGGAAGAGCAGAACACAGTCCAGCGGCCCCGTGTTACAATGCAACATGCAAAGAAATCTTCTAGTGTGGTCCTTTCTCTGATGTGCTTGGCTACCACCTCAGCCTGAATTTTCAAGTTTCCTCTTGACTTTTCTAGTTCAGAGGTTGAAGTGAGGCAACTACATCAATATTCTAATTTAATTAGAAAGAAGACTGCTGACCAAAACATCAAGCAGAATGCCACAGATTAACAATGGATGAAATTTAAAAGCAGAAACACATCAGAATACTTCTGAATTCAATTTGCCTTTCTACCTTAATGTAAAATTAGCCTCTGGGCTTCATTTGAGGGAATAAATTTTGGGTATCTGGAAAAATCTTAATGCATTAACTCAGTCTTTGTAAGCCTAGGTGGCGAGAAATAAGTGTTTGAAATAAACAAGCTGTTAAGACAAATACATTCTCCAGCTATTAAAAGACTGGAAGCCAGATCTGCAAATACCTGCAACCAACTGACAATGCTCTTCTTCAAGAGTAGCTGTATGCTTGTTACATGTAACTTCATATTCTCCTTATATGTAATTCTACYGTTCAGTCCAAGCACATCTCAATTTTAGACAAAAATATTAACATGGGATTTACACTTCTCTCAGTATCTTCCCAGTCAACATTCTCAAGTGTCTTTCTGCACTAYGGAGATCAGTGTGTAGCTTCTTACATGTAGTTTTTCACTCGAGGGTATTAGGAAGTCTACAGAGATGCTTCTCCATGCACATCCTGATCTTTTGTCTACCAGGATGAGCAAAGCTGGAATGTTTTCACAAACACTGCAGAGTTGGCTTCAAGTAATCAAAAGCGAAGAAATCTTCACAGCAATGCAAAGGTGATGCTGACCAATTCCTGTMAAGAAGACAAGGATACATACCTTGCTGAACAATGGCACTTGATTGCCTRTGCAGAACGGAAAGTTTACTTGATCCTTCTCCAAAATGTCACTGTAAATAAAAGTTCCCTTCAAACTGTTTCAAGAACAGATGCCATTTCCTTGAACTGTCTGAAGAAGTTCTAAAAAGCAAGAATTGAGACAAATTTCASTTGCTTAAAGAAAAGCTCAAACTGCAATTCAAATTAACATGTTAGACAAAAAACACTATCTRTATGTCTCACTTTCAACATACAGTTTGACCTGAAAGTTTCTGTTTTTCTTTCTGTGGGCTGGTTAGCATTTGAACACGTTAACTATTAAATCTATAAAGGTGATGCCTTAATAGCGTAAGAGTGCCTATTAATAGGAAAAGATGCTRTGAAAGAAAAATACGAAGTAGCTCTTGCACCATAAAAAATAAAATTTAAAAAACTCTTCTCACACAAATGTTTCTACTCCCAGCTAAATAATCCAGACTTTTAAAATGTAGCATTAATTTCCTAAAGTAGCTGAACAGCAAATTATTAAACAGGCTTCAACCAGAATGAAGACATTTCACAACACCAAGGGATTCAGAATATCCTTGTAAAATTTCCACCAATCAGATTCCAAGGATCTGAGTTTGTATGGTATTCTAGATGATGTAGTGATCCTTTAAAGAGGAATGACAACACAAAGGCCATGTTTACGCAAAATTGCATAAATTCATAGATGGAGATACAGCAAATCAGAGTCTGCAGTGACAAAGCAGACTGATCTCCACTCCTAACCATTAGCAAGTGTTAGGCATAAGCCAAGTTTTAGATTTTGAGGGTGGTCAACAGTTCAGTAGATCAAGAATATTTATCAATTTTAAATAAGGCAGAATGATAGCTAACAAGCACAGAAAGATTTTATGTCTTCAGTTGTTAGCTTATTTGCAAGAGAATAGAWTAACTACTGCTAAATTACTATTTTAGATAGGTTATGTAGAATAAATACAATGAAGTAATTATTTAGCTTCTATGTTTTAAATATCTATTTAATGCTTCATGTTTGCATGACTGTATGAGTAAATAAGCAGCACAAACAAATGCATCAGGCCCTCACAAAAATGGCACAGCTGTTTTTAGAAGACTGAGTAACATTCAGTAACATACTCACTACAGACCTTGAACTGCGGGATGGTCATTTCAAAAGACTTGTCTGTTATTTGTCCTGAAGGGTCTGCCACTGTTAGTGTCACTGTGACRTAAGGGTACTTCAGAGACCTGCAGGTGTCAGAGCTCATCGCAACTCCCAGTTTCCATTTCATATCTACGAACTAAAAAGATGAAAATCATTGGAAATAGTGTCAAAGAGAGAGATCTACCCTCCCATTGTTATTCACTTGGAGGAATATTTCACAGACAATACAGGACATCTAAAGCTCTTATCCAAATGGAAAGCAAACATAACCTTTCAGGTATTATTGTGAATACAAGATCATCTGCCCTTCCTTTTAATGGTGAATAAATAATTTCATAACTTATTTCATTTGCTCTGATTTTCTTACTTAAGTACAATCGATAGTCAAGTACACTCTTATTAAAATTTTAGTAAGAGGAGATTAAGCCACAGAGTTCACCCAGCTTGTATATCATGCATGGGGCTTTTTTGTAATGTTTTCTTTTTAGAAGTTTCTAAATAAAAATCAAAGTTTCTAAGTCTAAACCAAATAATTTATAATAGCAATAACAGAGAAAAGTTATGTAATTTCTTAACTGCCTTTTACATAAATCAAAGTACATAACAGGTACATTTCAGGCAAGTAAGTTATAATTTTTAACCTTTTTGAAAAAGGGCCTTTMGAAGCTTACTATCAAGCCTCAGAAAGAGATTCCCTTTTCCTAATTCTATTTTTTTTAAACTGCTGTCATAAAAAAATCTTCAAACATAATCAGACTGCTACTTTTTCAATCAAAAAGGGAATGCTGGAAATTGAGGGAAAGCATCTTTAAAAATAATGTTTAAATTTAAGGGAAACAAAGAATAAGCAATAAAGTACTGTTTTTATCAACTTTAAAGAACAATTTACACTTAAAACAGATTTACATAATAAGCCAATACAATTGTCTGCCAGACTGCCATTCATCTTCCCTAAGAGTACTACAAAGATGAATTTTTTAAAAGGTATGAAATGTGACTTTATCATCCAAACAATAATATTAGAAAACTGTTCAGCATGTGGACAACCTTATTGTACATGCTGCTTTATCTGGATAGGTATTTGGCAAYATGTACATGCAAACAGGCAGGAAAGCTTTCAGCAGTCAAGATACCACTGCCTGCCTGACAACACAACACACAGTGAGACTGACACTTCTGAAATGTTCATCATTAGCCCAACTGCAACATTAGCCCAACTTTGTCATTTAGTTACCTGCCCCACTGTGACTRTATTTCTTCCATCTTCTGACACAGCAATGGCTTTGCCCTGCTCATTCCATACGTGACGAATAACTTGAACTGCATGTTTTGGCAGCGTGCTGGTGGCACTGCCCAACGTGGTGATGAGCTCTTCTGTAGAGAGATTGTTTCTCGCTGCTGTGCTATAATAGATACATGCAGAGATCACTGCATCAATTACATTCTCCACCAATTTAATACAATTCCTCATTTCACCCCAAAGAGACACTTTCTATTTCTACTTTATATGTATTTTAAAACACTTCAACAGCCCATGATTGCTTTTTTCCAGAATATTACTGATCTTTTGTGCATGTGTATCCATGTGCAAAAACCAACATATTGGTATGTCTTAATATGCAGAGACCCACCTTTGCTGGGCTCACATAACACCCAAAATTAAACCAAAAATAATCACAGCCTCCAAGTGCTGTAGCAACTGGAAGAAGGYGTAAGTAGTGAAGGAKGTCTCCATAGARCAGGTGAAYAGTATYACTACTTYAGGCAAAAGGCAATTTAATTAAACATTGGAATTAAACAGCAGAATTTAAGTATCCCCAAAAGGACTTCTAGGTCACAGTATAATGGGTACTAACAGGAGTCAAATGATGCCATAAACCTTTAAACTGAAAAGGCAGCAAGTCTAGAGGAAAAATTGCCACTTGACTTCCTCTACAGAAACAAATAAAAAAAAATCCTACTGTATGTTTATTYATCCAGGTTTATTCCTCTTAAGGAGGCATAAATACAAGAGAAAGTGAATTGGTCCTCCAAATAGCATGTCAAACACAACTTCAGGCATTSTGTTTTATACATGGAAAAGTAGTGCGTAAAATTTCTACTGGTATGTTTTCCTCAGTTGTATTAATGTTACAGAAAATGTTTAGATACTTGATAYTAAAAGAACAAGCAGGATCTTGTAAATTTTATATTTCTAAAAACAGAAAAATGTATCAACTAAAAATACTACCCAAAAACTCAACTCATGGCAAAATGCAGTATTTTAAGTTCTGTGTTCTTCAAACAGGTACAAATGCTGATTTCTAATCTCCAAGAAACAAGAAGTTTTTAAAACACAYTTTTTTCAGGCAAAGGCCCAGCTGACTTAGCTTTAAAAGTGAGCTTAACTTCCTCTATTTTGCCGTTAATTCTAGAGCTTGCAGACAACATCTTGGAACAATTTCCTCTCTTCATTTTTTATTACAAAAAGGGATACTATATRTTAACTAGCTACACCTTTATAATTACACAAACTAAGCTGAGATGCTCTCTTTTGTGTAGTGAAACTTACAACCTTTCGCGCTTTTCCCAAACAGTTCATTTTATACACACATTTGATATAAGTTTGCAATACCACCATTAAGTTGTGATGGAAGGAAAAAAGTACAAAGTAAATTATTTTGTGCTTACCTAAATAGAAATGAAAGAATGTTAGCTATTTTTGCCAGGTCACCAATATTAATCTCAACGCCCGATGTTTGAATTCTCTAGAAATAGAATGTTCAAACAATTACAAATAATAAATTATGCATTAGTAAAAGCATCTTTGTAGATACACACAAGAAACCCCACACATGGGAATTCTATCTTTAACAGCCAATACAGCTACTATACTCACTTCTAAGAGTTGGTGTGCCAACTTACCTGACACAATTCAGCTGTATTTACACCTGGGATTTTATGGTTCAGATGCTGAATTATTTGTTCACACTGTGAAGAAAACATATTTGAAGACATTCTTAATGCATATTTTAATACATGAGACAAAGACAGTTTGAATACTTGGGAGACTACAAAAAAAAAGAAACAACTTAGTACAAAAATGGACAGAAAGACTGGAGTGCAGAGTAAAGAATGAAGTAATTGAAGTGACTGATTTTAAAATTCCATCAAATCCAAGAAAAGAAAATAAATCAAGAMTTTAGTTTCTACCTCACCATTGCTAATTAACAAATAATCGTTTCATATTGAGTGTTCAAGTGCACACTACAGTGAACAAGCCAAATGCTTTTTAGACAAGTTATCTTGACATATGCTTAGGACAATAGATAAAAAATAGATTTTTGGAGATTTGTGATAAAAACATAAATTGAAAGCAAACCCATTGCTCTTRGCAGGACTGGTCTGTTTTATGAGTCAAGTCAAGGTATCACATACATAAGCTTCCCTTTGCAACACAAAAAACTCAAAASACCTTAAATTAAAAGGCTTCTTAGAGTGCCAGAAGCACTTCCCCATCCCATGTATCGCCTTACTTACCAGCTCTGCAAAAAAATCTTGAGGTATTAAATGAATTTTATCTGCTGCACCGCCACCATCTGAAAAACAGCAGCGATCAAAAGCAAATACCTAACGTGTTACAATATTTAATCTTCCTCTGAAAAACGCCTAGGCCATCATGCATGCACTTGCTTTCATTTACTGTAATTTATTTTAATTTACATGTGCCAAAAGAAAGCCCCTGCGTGCCCGAGCCCACCCCTGTCACCCCGGGTCCCCCCGCCCTCACCCAGCGCCCCCAGCGCCATCGCCAGCGCGCCCGCGGAGCCGCCGGCCATAGCGCCGCGCGCCCGCCCAGGCCCGGCTTCCGCCGCGCAGCGCTCGCCGCGCTGATTGGCTCCGAGCGCCACCAGAGCGAGGCGGAGCCGCGCTGATTGGCTCCGAGCGCCCCCAGAGCGAGGCGGAGCCGCGCTGATTGGCTCCGAGCGCCCCCAGAGCGAGGCGGAGCCGCGCTGATTGGCTGCGGCGGGGGAGCACGCGCTGTTCTCGCGGCTGCCGCTCCTATTGTCCCTCCCCCGGCCATGGCGTGGCATGAGGGACTGGGCTCGGGGCATTGGGAAGTGTAGAACCGCCTCGGAGGATTTGGGAAGTGCCGGCTCAAATCACGCTCAGTTGGCGCAACAAGTTGTTTGCTGAGGTTGGTTTATTGACAGGGCTTTCGTGGTGCTCGTTGTCACAAGCTCACGGATGCAAATCATGGGACCACAGAATGTTAAGGGGTTAGAAGCGGCCCTAAAGATCATCCAGTCCCAATCCCATGCCATGGGCGGGGACAACTCTCCCTAAACCAGGTGTTCCCATCCAGCTTGGTCTCGAACGCTTCACGGATGGGACGTCCGTGAGGCAACCTCTCTGGGCAGCGCATTTCAGTGCCTCACCACCKTCGCAGTAAAGAATTTCTTCCTAATACCTAACCTAAATTTCTCTATTTGCAGTTTGTACCCATTCCCCCTTGTGCTGTCACTACACTTCTGACGATGAGTCCCTCTCCGGCTTCCGTTCAGACCYACTTCAGATACTGAAATGCTGCTATGAAGTTTCCACGCAACCTTTTTCTTCTCCAGGCTGAACAGCTCCAGCTTCCTCCTCTTGCCTTCGCAGGGGACCCGATGCCTATTCTATGGAACTTGGTAGGAAAGGAACATACTTTGTACAGGTGGATAGTGGAATCAGCCCATACACCTTAAAAAAAACCTGTGAGGTTTGTGGGAAACTTGTGTAGGTAAATTGTCTTCAGCTTTGTAGGGAAAYAGCCACCTTTGGTAAAATCACAACTAGATCTGTGTTCAGTAAGCATTTCCCGTTGATATCAATTATGTTTGGGCTGTGGCAGGAGTACTAAGACAATACTGACCATTCAGCARTTTCACTTTTAAAAATAATATTTTTACACTTCTCTAGTATCAGTTATACATTTACTTTAAACATTTTTAAAATATAAAGAGAATAACATTAGAATCTCAGTATTCTGAGGCTGTGACAGTTGTAAAATATAATTCGTCCCACAGTAGTGCTAATTTAAAAGTCTGTATTTTCAGTAAGTGTTAAGTTAAAGAATCTAGAAAATATTTCAGGAAAAGACTAATCATTATGGAACATGGTGTGTGCTTATGAGCTTTATACATTTATGACCTGTCTGATCTTGGCCTCTCCCTTCTAAAGTATTTAATTAAGTGTACAAATGATTTTGAGTAGTCTGTGTTTTTATGATCTCATGGTTCTCAAAATACTGACAATGTATGCGTCACTGAGATCTGTCTCCGATACTGAGAACTTAACAATCTTTGTTCTTAACTTACCTAACACATACTTTATTTTACAATTTCATTAAGTCTCTCAGTTATGCCCTTACCACTATGACTAATATTCATTACGATACTTTTCTTTCTTACTTTCTTTCTCCAAGATATGGAGATGGGTGTGAAGTTTAATATCTTGGTGGTTAGGTAATTACACAATCATTTGCTGAAACCTCATGGTATTTTGGATTTGTTTTCATCAGCATATAAATACGCATTAAATTTTTAAAATTTGGAACAGAAGGTGGTGAAATATGGCTTGATTTTGGCTTGTCTGCCTATCCACAGAGTTAAATTGTGTGGAAGTGTGTTCCATGAAATTTTTCATGGAAATGCAGGCTWTGATGGTAATCTGACATTATAGGCCCACCGTTTAGGTAGAGAGGGACCAAGACCTTCATATGAGCAGACACTGTACAGAAACCAGAACAAAAATGTCATGAGCTTCAAGTAGATTGGATAGAGAGATGCTACAACATTGTTGATAGGCCAAAGTAGAAGCTTCAAGCATCGCCATGTAGCATTACCTTAGTCCTGCTAAGTGATTACACGGGGTGAAATAAAATAAAAGCATCAYTAGGTAATTAACTTTATTTAGTACACTTCACATTCACAGAATGGGACATAATTTGCATCAAAACTGTTCTGTGATTCTGTGATGTGGGGGTAATTTASTGCCACTGCTGCTCAGCAGTTCCCTCTGACTCCCTTTGTCCCGCCCGACCCGTGGGCATATTTCCCTGAACGCTGCCCATGCCTCCCCGCCGCGGTTCCATTTAGATGCCGGGGGTCGCTTCGGAGGGGCCTGGCTGTCGGAACGCGTGGAGCCCGCTCCCCACACCCCGCGGTTCCCGCCCGGGATCGGCTCCAGTGGGAGCGGCCCCTGCCATGCCCCGACACSGAGCGGCCGCGCCCTCCCGCGGCTGCGGCGCGCCCCACAGGCCCCGAGGCGGGGCGGAACAGGAACCGCCCCTTGCCCCGCTGGGAGAGTCCACTGCCGGGGGAGCCAACAGGGTTGGGAGGGGGAGCTCTCCAAGGCATCGCCGCCCGGAGCACTCCGGGGACGGACGGCGGCCACCATCGGGCTCGCCCCTCGGCCATCTCTGCGGAGCGGAGCGGAGCGGCGCGGCGGTGCGGGCGGGCTCAGGGCGGTGTTTTCTCCTTCCCGCGCCCCCCCCGTGAGGCGCGGCGCGGTGACGCGGCCCCGGGTCAGGGCTGAGGCGCGCCGGCACCGTGAGGCGCTGTCASAGCCGCGCTCAGAGGGTCCGCCCAGCCAGCCCTGTACCGGTATCCGCCGCCGCTGCCATGGAGCCCCATCGCTGGCTGCCCCTGGAGGCCAACCCCGACGTGAGTGCCCGGCCAGGGCCGTGGGGGGCTGCGTGGGCGCGGGGGGCTGCCCGCCCGACAGCCTGCCTGCTTTGGGGTGGATGGGAGCATGGCGGAGGGGAGAGGGCAGAGGGCTCCGGGCCGCGCCGGGCTACATTGCCGCTTGTAGGGTAGTGGCAGGGAAGGGGGGAAGTCTTATTCCGTGGATCCGACTGGGTCTTAATTCTCTTCTCTTTTCTGCTTTCTTTTCAGGTCACGAATCAGGTAAGCAGCTTTTATTTGCGGTAACCTTTAGTCTCTCTGCCTCTTTGGGCCCGTCTCCTCTAGTTTTTATGTAGTAARGSCTCCTTCTTGTCCAAGGAGAGTGTYCTCTTCCTTCCCCACGCGTGTCTGCATTCAGTCTTCTCATGTCGGACCGTACTGGAACGTCGCACGTGCAGATACTGTATGAAAGAGAAACTAGCAGTAAAAAGAGATTCGTTGTGGCCTGGCTATTACTGTAATGAAATCTCTGATGTTTTTTTATGGTGGGTTTTAATTAATTCATTAGTGATTGAAACATTGATTTATATATAACGTGTGCCAGGTATGGACTTGTACCTGATGGCTTTGGGCACATGTATGAATCTGCTTGCATCACTGTGTCTCATTCTTTTTTGGCTGACCATAAAAAATAACGTCATTTTACCATATTTGCACTTTGCTGCTTGTGCATGACAATATATGCATGMYTTGTTGTTGCTGTTTTTGTTAGCRTGGTAGAACCCCTACTAGAGAAGGGAAGCTTGTTCTAGTCCACAAAACAATGCTCCCACTAAATAAGCTCTGGCTGAAAGGAAATCACACATACTCCAACCCTGCATCATGTTCTCAGTGACAATTTGGAGCAWCTTTAACAAGCATTAGAAGTCAGTTGTTGATTCAGTAGGCCTGTTGATAATGCTGTTGAAGATGTTGTTTAAGCCAAAGGGCTCTGAAGCTTCCAGCAGCAAAATTATGTTCTTAAAATTATGTTGATGAAATATCTTGGAAACTGGGGATTTCTCTGTGTAAAGAATGTTTTGTTTGGATTTTTTGTTTTGTGGCTGCTGCAATATACAAATGGCATTTCCTTATGTTTTTATTTTTTGGGGTTTTTTTTGGTTTTTTTTTTAAATTTTTTTTAATTCAGAGACTAAGTTCCAGTTTGGAAGAAAATATGTGTGAATAAATGACTAGTGAGAATTTCAAATTCTCTAATTTATTCCAATTTTCAAGGTGTTGAGATGAGCTCATCATGGTACAAATTTAGATCTCAGCTGTAATGTTGAAATTGAGGAGGAAAAAATAGTGACATTTTAAAATCTGAAGTGTCTTGTATCACCATGTGCTTATTTTGTATGGGGAAAATCCTAAAAGAATGTTAAAAGAGGAATTTTAAGTGTGTTCAAAATCCATCTCTTGCCCATTGGTCTCGCATTGGTGATGGATGTAGCAGTTGTAGGTGATCCTGGATAATAGAAATTTGTACTCCACAAAGCGTTTCTTGTTACTGTTTCTGTGTAGGAAAGGCCACTTGAAACCAGTTAGACTTCCTCCTTCASTATTTTCCAGTCTTAACTGAGCAGGGATTATTATTAGCTATGCTGAGAGAGGTATATTTAAAAAAAAAAAGGTAGGTGTTGAATATGAATACACCTTGCATTATTAATCATTGTTCTTTTAATCTCATCAGTACAGTGGTGAACTGTGTAGCAACAGGGTTATTAGTCATAAGTTATTCATATCCTGCTTGTATTTAAAACAACAATAATAGTGATTTGAAATTCAAATGAGGTTGCAAACTCATTTTTTAAAAAATCCTCTTAATTGCAATGATGGACATTTTTATGGTGCTCTGTACTGTGCTCTGTAAAATATTCTGGAAGTCTTCAGGGTTAAAAAAACCCAATGGTGTGCCTCAACAAACTGTAACATTTGTATTTAATAGTAGTTTAATACACGTATTTACACAGATATCTAGCCAAGTGCCAAGTGTTTCTTTTTGGGTTTTGTTTGTTTGTGTTTTGCTATTTGGCTTTTTTTTGGTTGAGTGTTAGGATATCTTATGCATACTGCTTTTGTTAGTGTTAAAGTTATTGCTAGGTCTGGTGGTGAAGTCTTAAACCAAAAAAAAGTTCCAGTGACCTGTGAGGTGCATGGATTCTTAATATTGGATTGYAGTTAGAACTGTTATTCTAATTCAACAAATGCTTATGCTGTTTTGACTATTATAGTTCAGTGAATTTGTAAATGCTTAGTGTATATAGAACCTCTGTGCATATGTGTTAAAATTATTTGAAGATTCAGAAAGTGGCTGGTGAGGGTAAACAGAAATATTCTTTCATACCTTTAAAGATTTCCAGTGGCAGTGGAAATCTGCCACGTATCTGTAGTGRTGTTTTCAAGAGTGAAGACAGTCGTTCAGTGCTGCACACAGTGCTGGTTGTAATGAGTGAAGTCAGGAGTTAAATGTACCATACAGTGCTAAGTGATTATCACAGTACTTTTTTCTTCTCCTTCACTTCTACAGTCTGACAGAATGAAYTGTTGTCTACCTCTGATACAGAAAGAGTTGGTGATTCAGCATTTACAAAGCTCCACTTTGTGTACAGTGAATGACAGGGAATGGTTTCTTCTCTTTGACCTTCAGCTGGGGAACCTGACATGACCAGTGCTACACTCCATCCTGGATCTCTTAGGGGATTTTCCTGAGAAAAAGCAAGAAAATAGTGTTTATCATCTGTTACCATATGATGTTCGTGTGTCTTGTTCCCAATTTCTTAAAAAAAAAAAAAARMRKGSTGMTKWTTTKKWG